CTGTCTCACTCACTTTTCCCCATGTTCTGTATCCTAATCCACCTATCCCCTTCACTGTCATTGTTGTTGCGTTGGCACCATGCTTGTTTTCAAGCCGTAAAATGGGGAAAGATTACATCATCATGTTTCGACAATCTTCAGGTTTTTGGCAATAATCCCTGTGACACATGTGGACCAAATAAGTACCAGAATGCCTGTAATCATTTGTTCTCACAACTGCTCCCCCCCTTTTTAGTGTGCAGTGGTCGGTCTTCATGCATGATGTGTTTTGCGAACACCAATAGTTGTTTACCCATCGATATGCTCGAAGCGATTACCTGATTTGTACTGTTATTTCTTTGGCAAATAATCTGGACTCTGGTGTGTGTGATTTATATATGGAAACACGAGCCGGTACAATGCTCGCCGGGGCAATCATATGAAGGTTTCCCATGTCCTTGTCATTCTTAGTTGGTGGTTTGGGTGTAGAAACTCTCTTCGTGCGGCATTCATGTGTGATTTTGTTTCTCCAAGTCTTGAGATTGGCGATCCTGGAAGAAATTTGAAAATTGACCATCAAGACAGATTTATTTTAAGAGTTGACATGTTGAAGGATGCGCCTCAATGGGAAACGCATTCAACCTTTATTGTTGGTCATCAAACTCGGAAGTTCTACCCCATGTCGACTATTTCGAATTTTGTAGGGAAATTCTTCGTGTGCAGAGCAAACGAAGCGTGAACAGAAAAGTTGGAAAGCATCACAACTGTTTCCACATTTGTTCTACCAGTTACGTCTCAGGTTCGACTCTCAGTTAGATTTATACATCCGCACTACGGATGAGACCCATTCCGGTCAAAACAGCTGTCCTGTTAACGCTTCGTTTGCTCTGTTCACAACGAAATTCCTGATAGAATCGAATCAAATTCTCCGCCACTGTCATGTCTTGACTTCGTTGTCCTCCAGTTCAATATCACACCTTTCATATAAGTGCTTTATGTCGTTCAGTACTCCAACCCCCGAGATTTCGGTTGTCAGTTATCGCGAGTAAACAGGCAGCAGTTCCTTGTGACCATGGTGTCTGTTCCTTGAGCTGTTCACAGCACAATGGTACGTAGTTAAAGGAATGACATGCCCCTCGTCCATTGGTGACAGTCCTGCTTCAAATTACGCTCCAGAGGCTCCCACCATCCATGCAGTGCATTCTAAACGCGTTCGGCCATAGACAAATCTACCGAATGAGTGACTGAACAAGTGCAAGCTTTTGCGCACAGTATAGCGACCAGTTCTTATCTCGAAATCCATCGATTCCTGATCCGTTTGAGCTCCGTCTCCACACGCACGACCTCCACCGACACTCCCAACGATACCCAAACTCTGTGTAAGGAAATGCAGGAATTCTCAGCGATGATTTTGAACACGCGGGTGACCTACGAGGTCGATCAACGACCATTCTCATTCAAAAAGCCGGGGACGCAAAAAACAATCGTTTAGGGTGATATATTACTGCATCTGCCATTTTAATTGACAAGCTCGCTTGTGTAAGCGTCCATGGTCCAAAAACACAATAAAAAAGATAGGTGACCGGTAGGGTACGTTTATCGCATCCTTTGATCCCGGTCTTCAAGGCAGGGAACAGAGCTAGATAGATAAAAATACAATGACTTTCTCCAGTGTAAAAGTTGGGCGAATTACCCAAGCAAGTTCCAGGATGGTTGTTCCTCATCAGGTCTCTAATGCTTGTTGTAAAGTTTTGAGACTGATAAATACGGTCACCGCAGATGGTTTTCCTCTTGGTGGTCTGTGTGCCCTCAGCGGACGGCCTAGTGCTTACTTGAAAACATTGTTCATCTTGTTCCCTTGCAAATATGCTCTCCGGTAGAGAAAGTGAATTCAGTACGATACAATTCAACCCTGAGGGTATGTTTTACCTAGCCTAGATGATCTCCAAGGTTTTCTAAGTTTTTGTGAGTGGGTGGAATTATGTTCTTGTCATCTCATCTGTAATGCAGACGCTTAAAAATCCCAAATCGTCCCCATAGATGCAGTCTATTTCCGTGTAGTTTCAAGGAACCAGAGAGCCCAAATGAGACATTCCAAACAATGACATAATGCCATATTGATACATGTATCGTTGTCTTGATTTACTACCGTGCCACTTTATCGTAAACCGTATATTTCAGGCTAAACTTTACTTGTCCAAATTTACGCCTTCGGAAAGTATTCTTCCTAATATTCCAATCTGAGTGAAAGTCTGCAAAAAACCCATTAGTTTATTGCTTTTGTTTACAGCTCTTCAATTCGATTCCGTCCAAAAAAGTTCCACCGAGCTTGCGGATAAGACGTCTCACGCGGAGTGGCTAAGTGCTCCTTTACTAGGTGACAAAATTGAAACTCCTCAACGAGCTGTCATGAACTCCACTACGGAACAAACCGCCTCTGAAAGTGATGCACCAACCGAATATCGGGAGCTGGTTCATTCGAAGCAGTCGTCGGTTCAAATGTCTCAGAAGCGCCACAGTCTGCTACATGGAGGCACCGTTTCCTCTCACTCAACATCAGTTCAGACGGACACAAACGGTGCGGCCACGGCTTCTTCTCAGCGTGATTGGACCTTACAACATTGTGCAAGCCTAACCGAGGCGGATCGTCGATTGACATGGCTTCAAAATAAACTACGACAGTCTTTGCTGGCTGACGATATCCTTCTAAAAAATTCTCCAACTGTCAAAACTCAGCGTCAATGTAGTGGAAGCAAACGTTCGACATCCTTACTCTATTCACCCAAACAAACTCCTGTAACGATAAAGGATACAAATCCAACGAGCACCAAGCCAGTCCCTGTATTGCCTCCTTTACCCCCTAACACGGATGCACGACCTGTTTCAAAGACCCCAGAGGTGTCCGAACTTTGTGTTGGCTTGTCCAGTCCACCAAATAAAGAGAACCCTCCTGAGACATTACTCTCTGTCTACCCACAGGTCGGTGTTTCTCCATCCGATAGTAGACGGGAAGAAAATGCCACAACACCAAACCTACCTCAAGCAGCAGAGAACGTTGTTTCTTCCTGTCTCTCCTGTGGCGATGCAAACCTAAAGCCCCGAGTGCAAATTGCACCAAATACCAATCGTTGCGATGGTGCGTTGCTGGAAAGTGGTCAGCTAAAGCCCCAATCAGTCACATCTGATGAAATCAAGTTGGGAATCAACGTCAGCCTAAATCATTTAGCTGAGGAACGGTCGCGATTGCAACGGAAAATACTACGTCTAAAAGTATGTTTCATGAAACATTTCTTTTTTTGTCTTCCCGTTTGATGCGATGTGGATAAAAGATTTTTTTAAAGCAATGGTTAACAAGAACCACATTCAATATGCGTTATCGCAATCTGCTGTATGTGTATAAGTGAACACTTGACGTTGCAAAAGCAGTCAGAATGGGACCTCACTAACGGTCTTCATAAAACGCGTTGCATTCTGATAGTGGAACAGAAGTTATATGATTTTTATTCTCGGGTGTCAGTGTAATGTGGTATTTTTGTATGTATTCCCATCGTCCCGTGGTTCACATGTTTGTCCTACTTTTCGCTTGTGATGTTTGGGAAGNTTTATTGTTTAGTTGTTCAGTCATAAAGACTGTTCGGTTTCCCAGCCGTTTGTTGCTTCGATGTGAGCTTGCGACCGCTTTTCTGTTTATACAGACCGACGATTGGCGCGGTATTAAGAAGCGTTTCTTAAAAACTTATCTTTCACTTGCGTAAGGGATTGCATAAGCATTTGTGTTGATAAATCGGTTTAGAGTTACCAGGGAAGTAGCTAGTGTAGTTCCTGACAAGCTTCCCGCGGTTAGTATCCGGGTAAGCAGCATGCTGTCCATTTTTGTTAAAATCGCTCAACCACAATCGGTCTGAAGTATCCACCGTCTGTCACTTATTTCATAGTATTTCTGAATGTTNCTTTGACATCATCGACCTATTTGGTCTAAGGACACTTGACTATTGTATGCAATAGGTAACTTGGCAGCAATTTTCCCCTTACTTTCGTAGCCAACACGATCTGTCAACAGTCCTCATACGACGAATTGTAGATGCAGTATTCTCAATTGCACTGGTAGTTAGTTTTCACTTTCCCAACTTACATTTTGCGAATCAACATTCTATTAGTGTTTTGTAGTGGTGGTCGTTCAGTGACCCTGAGGTTACACAAATAGCTAGTTAGGTATTCGGGGTCGAGTGCGAACACATGCGCATTATTCTCATAGGTCTGTTCTCACGTCTGATCCCGTGATTTACGATGTTGATTGTGGCTTTTATAGGTAGCAATAAGATGAAGGTCGATTAGTGAATGATCTCAGGTAAAAATGTGTAATGGAAGGTTCAGTTTTGGAAAAAAGCGGTTTGGTCGGGTCCGCTGGACACGCGTGCTCTACATATGACTGAACATCAGACAAGATAACCGTGTTGGCATAGGTGTCTGCGAACTCATACCCTGCTCCGTCTTTCTGTTGACTGTTTAAGATTAGAGTATCTAGCACGAACCCGTTGAAGTAAGTAGTGTTCAGTTACGTGAATCGTTCCGATTTTTTAATCTCCATCGTTCGTACTGCTTTCTTTTCATTTTTTCGTCCGTTTTGAATACGTAATAATACAATTTTCAAGAAAGGGGAAGCGGCCAACCAAAGGGCTGCCATACAAATACAGTGGAGAAAGTTAGGCGGTGATGGAGGGATTCGATCACACTTCCTTCAGGGTGATAATTTGGTGACGTTACCACCGGGCTATCACCGACCAATGTAATTATTAGTTGTATTATTTTAATGAAAACACTCCCACTGCGGTAGCACACTAAGTAAACTTTCCTTGACAGACTGTAAACTCAGGTCATTAAGAAGCATTTCAAACGCAGTCCGGAACGTTGGAATTCGCCTACTCAAATATCCACCTGCGATCATACTAAGATGTGGTCAGCACTTCAGTTTTATTTAATCCTTAAAGGTTTCAAGGGCACTCTATCCATGTATCCGAGTTATTAGCTACGACCCCAACCCCCAATCTTGATGGTTACTGAATACCGATTATTCTCCACGGAGGTTTTCCCTCGATTTGGAATTGTATGCCAATTTGTATACAACTGGCAGGTATATAGTTTTGTAAAATCCCATTGAACCATTCTGTTTTCTGTACAGGCATATACTGTTCGACAGTATCTGTTTTTTTGTGTTACTCTTGTTTTTTTAGCCGTTCCAGTTTATGCTTGCGTTGAACCCAGAAAATGTTCGAACAAGCAGACGGTATATACTCATTCCTGTTAAAATATTCCTATCAGCATGATAGTTGTATTACCTAACAATGTATGAAATTTCATCGCTGTGATTATCTTCATTTCAGGTGATCTATAAAAGTTATAAAGAACGCCTGGCCAGTTTGGACACTAGCCTCATGTTGCTGCAACAGTCCTCGGCCACAACAACGAATTATTTTCTTCCTTCCAAAGTCAACGGAGTTACTCAGGCCTCAACTATAAAAACACCTCTTTCGCGAACGAATCATTCCGCACTCGATGATGGATCTGTATCGTCCGAAAGCTCAAGTACTTGTCGAACTCCGGTGTTACATGCCAAACCAGAGATAATCGATATACAAGAACATCCCGATCCGTTCGCTGACTACAGACCACGACGTTCTTTATCGGCACCACGTCACACTCCTGCATCGGTTCGGCGTCACCAGCCGTCCCGATTTTTGTCCGGGTCGCCTGCATTGAGGCGCTCGGTTTCCCAGGAACTGGCAGCTTCTTTAGCCTCGATCGACTCGCAGCTTCATCGGGTGCTTTGTCAGCTTGATCCGAACAGCCCCAATTGTCCTCATAATGTGTATGATGATGATGATGAAAACGAAAACAATGACCCATTGCTATTGAGCGACCACAAAAGAACGCCAGCTCAATGTCATAGACATCACAAACCTGTTGTCTCTTTCTCAACGCGGTTCCTTCAACACGGGCTAGCGAATCTGTCGCTCAGCGACCACTGCAGCAGGACATCTGCATTGGGTAAGTCAGTGTCTAGCGTACTGTATGAAATAGTTCAGTTTACGCACAAATCCTTGGCAATTTATACAATATAAATTCTTACATGCGTTTCACCATAATCCCCTGGTTATATCTTTTGATCTGGGTTTAAAACCGGAAAAGTTTACTTTGTTAGACATGGATGAAACCCAACAAAATGGTGAAATATGACTTGTTATCAAATTATATTTTGTTGCAAACATTTCGAAAACTACCTTGTTTTCGCCGTAATAAAAGTATTACACTCTCATAGACTTGTCACGTCAATATCAGTTCAGACGAATGCGCTGGTCATCCTGCGCATGTGCCTGGTGACAACTGGCAATCCGGGAGAATCAGTCGTGAACCGCTTGCTGTAGGTCACGGCCACGACGGTGACCAGTTGTTCACCTCTATTCGTAATGATCTTAAAGGAATAAAAATGTCTTACTGGATCAGATAACCAAAACACAAAGGCGTTGGTGACAGCGTTTCGACCCTCTTAGAAGGCCATTTTCAAGTCGTTTAATCTGTTAATCTCACGTTACAAGCAATTATAAGGCGATGGGATGATGACATCGTCTAGAACTCGGATGTGATTCGAGCATGCCTGTGTGTGCATGTGTGTGTTGGTGATCGTTCAACAGGTGGTTGGGGCGAGTGAAATTGGTTTGACCTTTAGGTCAAAACGTGTGAAATTAGTCACTTGGCGTATGGGGTGGGGCGAGACTATTTTGTATGCACAAGTGTTACTTACCATAACTGTGGAATGACTGCCCCATCGGATCGATTGATTGCCCTAGGTTCGGTGTTGATCAGGAGCGCTTCGGCTACCAAACGTTCCTTGTGACTTCTGAACCCACGCTTCAGAATGCGCGGGTTTTTGAAATCAACTGCATGTTTTTCGCACATTGCGTGACCAGCGATTGCGGAATTGTATTCCTCTCGATTCCAACCTGCTGCATCATTTGGAATCTTTTTCGTTAGACGCATGTGTTCGGTCATTCGTTTGTCTAGGTTTTTGGACGACAAGCTAATTTCCTCAATAATAATGAGCACGACGCCCAAGTTTT